TAACATTTATTCTTTGTAGTACTGAGGCATATTTAAGTATAAGTAGGTACCTACTGTTACGAACTTTTATATAGTTATGTTATAAACGTTAAATTAATGTTATAAACTTATTTTTCAGATCAGGTAGGAAGACGTATGGAGATAATGCTGTAGGTTATGTAGAAGTGAAAAGAGACAAAAATATTTGTTTAGTACGTGGAAAAATAACTCCAGAGCATAGCGTGAAAAAGATTTTTTTTTTTATATATTGACACCCCCTTACCCTTGTTATTTTTAAAGATTTTTTTTTACGAAATTATAGGAAATAAATTGTTTATCAGTAATGAAAATATTATACAAGGTGTCCCATAAGCAAACACCAAAATTAAGTTACTTTTTTAAGCGAAACACCGTATATATTTTTGGATTCTTCAGAAATTTCTAGATATTCTAGATATATTTCATGTATAATATCCTATACCTATCTTCAAATGTTTACGAAATATTGACAGTTGAAAAGCGAAAAATACCTACAATTTTCTGGACCACCTTTTTTGAGACACCCTGTATAACTAGAATTAATTTTAAAAGAGAGTATATGAAAAACCATGCAACTTTTTTATTTAATGTTTTCTTCTAAAACTTGCAGTTAAGGCTTATGTGGGTGTCAAAATATAATGAATAACCCTGTACATTCAAATTTCATATACCTATGTAAGACAATATACATAAATATATGAACTTATATCAAAATGATCTTCACAACAATAAATCGTAAAAATAGAGGATAATTTAACGTGTTTCTTTTCATCTCTTCTCATGGCCTTGGACCATTTTTCTCTCTTTTTGTTCATCTACTACTATTTATAAATATCACTAATTACTAATTATGTATTAATTAACACAAATAACTAAAATTTTGACTCGGATTCAACAGCGTTTAAAAGCAAACTGTGTATAATAAACACGCGTCTGGCTCCACTCAACCAAAAGAACGGCGGGTGACGTCACAGCGGCAAGGTGCGGTAGAGAGCATTTGCCCGGCCATTTAAATTAACAATATTTAATTATTTTATATTAGAGGCATTTCTTAACCGATATCAACGATTTTTTTTGTTCAATTTGTAATTATATGAACTATTTTTTAAAAACATGCATTTTCCTCATTGTCGAACGGGAGCGCAAACGAAAGCCGTACGAAGTTCGACGGAGCCGTACGAATGAACAGCTGGTGCTAGCGTCTAGTCTCTTATTGGTCTGGTTATCCGATCGATAATTCAAAATCCAGGCTTGCGCACTACGCTTGAGCACAGCTATCTGAACGACTTATGCAAAGTCCTTCAGAAGATTTATATACCCATTTCACCGGCTTGGCTTCACAGAATGCAGTTTGGAGTCAATATTCTTTAGTTAATATATATATGGTTATATGGTTGATTGAAAGAATTGGGAAGATACGCAACCTAATGGGAAAATTCGTGACAAGGCTGATTTGATTTCCACTTGCGTCTCAAGTGCTGTACAGTGGAGACACCAATCGTTCTGCAGCCAAAGCATAAGACACTTATTTTCTCTAATTCGGCCAGCGAAGGCATATCGAAGACGGTATGGAACTGAAAGCGACAGTGTTGCCATATGGAAATATGTAATATTGGTAATACGTTTGACGAAAATAATCTTTGGATGAAAAATCCGCGTTTATGTATTGAAAATTTATTTGTGTTAAACATAGAATAAACAACAAAAATAAAAAATCTTTTGTAGGTACTGAATATTTCGTATGATCGAAAAAAGTCGTTTAGTTTGCTTGGAAATTACTACTATTGACATTTACCATAATATTTTACATATGAAATAACAGCGATGTTTATTTCCAAGCCAACTCTGACGCCGATCATTGTTTAATCATATAATACTATACTAAATTGTTTAATAATAAATAATTGTATTATTAATGTACTGCACGTAAAATCCGTAAATCTACGGATTAATACGTAGTTCTGGCAACCACCTACGTTGCCGACTGAAAGCAGAACTACGGTACAGTATCCTTTATCCGCTGCGCTGTAAACGACATAAGCGCGCAGCGGCGCAGAACTAAAGTAAATCTCGCCATACATATTTCAATAATCGCCAGCTACATCTCGTGCCGGTTTTGTGCCACGAAATCGCCCATAAGGTTACGCATCTTCTTATTTCTTCAATCAACAGAAAGGCAGTTTTGTAATTTAAAATTTTTATCGGCTTGTCCAAAATCATTCTACTTTGCCATGCGTAATCAATCGTTATTGGCGGGTCAATCTTCCCGCATAAAACTGCTCACAAAGTAACCTGGGTTTCCCCAGACATGCGAACAGAAAATCAGATAGACCATATACTGATCTCAAAAAGATGGAGGAGCTCATTACTGGATGTCAGAAGCAGACGCGGGGCAGACATTGCAAGCGATCATTTTCTAGTGGTGGGTCAACTGAGAATTAAACTTTTAAAAAGATAGATAAAAATTTTGCAAAAGACCGAAATATAACATCGAACAGCTTAGAAAACCTAACGAACTCCAGAAATTTAAGAACAAGCTCAAACAACAAAGGAGAATATTAACGTAGCTTCGTGGAACGAGGCAGCAGACTTGTTTAAAACCGTTGCTGAAGCGACATTAGGCACAAAACGCATTAAAAGCAAAGAATGGCTTAGCGACGATACTTGGAACTTCATAGCTCAGATAAAACAAAGAATAAATACAACTTCAACTCACGAGACCAAAACTACTTTACAACAACAATATCAAGTATCGAGTAGAGCAGTTAAGAGATCAGCCAGAAAGGACAAACGAGCTTGGCATGAACAACTAGCAAACGAGGCACAAAAAGCCGCAGAACAACGCAATATGAGGGAACTGTACAAAATAACAAAACACCTGAGTGGACAACGTAGTAACTTCAATACAGTTATTAAAAGCAAAGGCGGCAGACCACTAACATCCTCTGAAGAACAGCTTGACAGATGGAAAGAACACTTCAGCAACCTGCTTGGACCAATAAGTGAACAAAATTTCAACAACGAGGAACCGAAGCCAACAATCGAAATGCCTATCAACTGCGACACGCCAACGAAAACAGAAATACAAAAGGCTATTAAAACACTTAAGAACAATAAAGCAGCCGGCCCCGATAGCGTCCCTGCAGACCTCCTCAAAGCAGATCCTAGCACAGCAGCAGACATACTGCATCCTCTAATTACAGGAGCTTGGGTATCTAACATCACCCCAGATGAATGGAAACAGGGTCTCATTATTAAACTCCCTAAAAAAGGAGATACCACTAACTGTGACAACTGGAGAGGTATTGTTTTAGTAAACACCATTCACAAGATAATATCCTCTATAGTTCATTTAAGGTTAAACTCCTATATAGAGCCTACTCTGAGAGAGAACCAAGCTGGTTTCCGACCGAACCACTCGTGCATTGACCATATTAAGACATTGCGCATTATCATAGAACAGTCAATAGAATTTAGGTCACCTTTACTCTTATTCATAGATTTCGTCAAAGCTTTTGGCAGTATCCCCCATGCGATGGTATGGAAAACTCTAAAAGAAAAAGGTGTTCCGGAAAAACTAATTAATATAATCAAGGAACTCTACAGAAACACAGAATGCAATGTGCTGCACAACGGTAGAACCAGCGACAGTTTTAACTTAGGAACAGGAGTAAAGCAGGGTTGCACTTATCGCCGCTTCTATTTAATATCGTGCTCGACAGCGTTTTGACTAAAGCCACAGCAAACATTAGGGGAGTACAATGGACTCTGACATCGCATCTGACGGATCTTGATTATGCTGATGATATCTGTCTCACAACGCAATCCTTCAAAGACATGGAAGTGATGCTCAGACGGCTAAAAACAGAAGCAGACAAAGTAGGATTAAGCATAAACGTCGACAAAACAAAGTCAATGCGCATTAACACAAATAACAACACTCCATTCAATGTAGGAATCAAACATGTCGAGAATGTAACAGAGTTTACTTATCTGGGAAGTATTGTAACAGCAAACGGTGGCGCAGACGCGTATATTGTTAGCAGGATCAGGAAGGCGCAGCGAGTTTTTGGACAAATAAAATCAGTTTGGACCTCCCTTCAACTCTCCATAAAAACAAAATTAAGAATATTTAATTCCAACGTCATACCAGTTTTATTATATGGGTGCGAGACATGGAGAGGGACAAAAATATCCATCAAGCGTCCACAGGTATTTATCAATCGCTGCTTGCGGAAAATACTTAAAATCTTTTGGCTAGACACCATACGTAACACCGACCTGCTTCATCTTACAAACCAACAAGAAGTAGGATTAAATCCGCAAAAGAAAATGGGGTTGGATAGTTCACACCTTGCGGAAACCTGATAGTAATATAGGGAGATCAGCGTTGGATCCCCAAGGAAAAAGAAAGCAAGGACGACCTGCTCAAACATGGAGACGTTCCATACTGGATGAGCTTCAACAAGTAGGGTCAACATGGAAGGAAGCAAAAACAACTGCCAAAAACAGAACCCGATGGAGAGCTTTCACTGAAGCCCTTTGCTCCGCGTATATATGCGTAATCAGCATATGCAGACCTTTAAAAAACTATTTACGATATGGCCGTAAAATAAACAGGGCCAATATTAAGAATAGTTCAAAATTTGCATAGGATTTCCTATATTTCCTATTATACTCGGTATAGGTAGTTTCATTGAAAATGAGCAGTTTGCAGCCATATCAGGTTGATACGGAAGTTCCGGAAAGTGGAAAATATTTATAAAAAAAGAAAGAGAGAAATCTAATTAAAGTCTCGTTGGCATCTGCGACCATTTAGCGACTTAAAAAGGAACGAATATCTGGAAATAAACTTTACTTGAAACATTCAATTTATGTCAAAATTATATCCTATAAAAATTTTAATGGACTAGTTGCGTGAAAATCTCAGTATAGATATTATTAATATTTATAATATTTTAATTTAGTTCAATTTTTTGCAGTGGTGCAGTACCACCTACTAAATGTATGGAGTTTGAAGATCCACAACCCCAAGCACCAAAAAATTGTTTTCGTCTTTCTTTTTCACCTGAGGAGAGATCTGGTCGTGGCATATTTGTTAATTATGAAGGTTCGCCTGAAATTCCACCTCAAGCACCACCAAAAGGTAAATCTCAATAAGTTTCAATGTAATTGATATTGAGTAATTATTTTATTCTTAAATTGTGTGTGTTTTTTATGACTTATAAAAGCAATTGTACAATGTGTAGTTATTTTAACACCATACGGATATACCGATTTGGCCATTTTAGAAGTGTGATCTGGATTTTAACTTGTAAGACAGTGATGTAGGCAGTTTAATGGAAATTCAAATGTATTAAATAGAGATAGAAATTGGGTTGGTACATTTCTTCTATGTCGGTTTTTGCATCAAAAGTTCAAACCGTACGAGTAGGCGTTTATGGAAAATGTTGCATCTAGGGTTGGAACCAATGACATCGAAATAAATTAGACCCGGCGACTTACATTTTGGCGAAATCCATCATTGCCTTAGAAAATTGCATGTATGCCAAATTTCCACTACCGGCCGCATTTAAAATGAAATCTTACCTACGTATACGTACGGGGATAGCTAACCCACATTGTAAACCAGGAATTCCATAATTCCAAATATAGATTACGTCGTAGAATATTTTAAACCGATAATAATTAAAGGTAGTAAAGTTAATAAGTAAAGGTTTAAATCTTCTGTAATTATAATTTTTAGAAATTAAGAAATTTAACATAAAACAATCGACAACGTCGCAACGCCAGCTGATGCCGAAAACGTACGCATTTTACTATCTTCACTCCTAAATTTAGGCAGCCAACAAAACATCCAGTTCGAATTCGTTCATAAATTGCTCTACGGCGTTGCCAATGTGTTGTAGTTTTTCGAAATGTTTTACGAGGTGATTTCCAGATATTTTAGTGTTTTGTGGTATTGTTTTTAGTGATTTTATTGATAAACAATAAGACAATGGTGCGAACTTGCTTAATTTGCAAAAATAGAGACGATTTAAACCTAGAAGTTTCATTTCGAAGGTGAGTAAGGCTATGTTACATCAGTGCGGTGCCGAAAGGTAAAATAGAGAAAAATCTTTGGAAATATGTATTAGTAAATCACACAGTTTTGGAATGTACCGTTATAAGTAATGAATTACATTAAGTTAGTTTCGTCACGTTTGGTTTTATTGAATATTTTGCTCATAATTTTTAATTATTAAAACCAAGTATACAAATACCAAGTATACAAATGCGATTAATTTGTTGAAAAGATATATAAAAAAATTAAAGATGCCACAATTACGAAAAATGTTCATAAGCGAAATACCATATGATCGAGAAAAAAAAACGGCGTCAGCGATGGCTATGAAATGAAGATCGCTGTCATTTTATATGTAAAATTATATGGGGAATGTCATCGATGTGCATTTCTAAGCCAACTGGAGGCCTTTTTTTCTATCATACTGATTGTTATTAGGATTTTTAGTTGTTAAAGATGATTTTTTAAGTGTAAAATCAAAATAGATTTATATAATGATTGAAAAAAAGTTAAGGGAAGAGTACGTTGGATATTACATACTAAATACCGAATGATCGAAAAAAAAACGGTATCGAAGACTGCTGGGAATAACAATCGAATATAATTTTCGAGATGTCTATTTCTAGATGTCATTTATTAAAAATTGACATAAAGCTTGTCAAAAACTAATACTAATTATAGAAAAATTATAAAAGGATAGAACGTTTCCAGAAACACAAACCGATATCCAAAAAAAAATTCAATTTATACTACACCATTTAAAAATCAAATACAACCTTAAGGCCTACTACTGCCAGTAAGTGCCATTAAAAAATAAACAAGAGTAGGGGTCATGATATATCACCTCGCCAAAATTATCACTGATTGTCATTTTTTACGCCGTTTCTTTTTTCGATGGTATAATGTTTGTGGTAATAGAGCAATTTTTTTTTGTTTTGTTTATTAATGCTATAAAAAATTATATAGTTTAAAAGATGAATGCATCTTTGTTTGATATGTTTTATAAAGCATTACTTATTTTTTGTTTGGTAATTTCTAATGAAAAGTTAATTATTTATTCAGTACAAGGTCCCGATTATCCGCGAAGAAACTGTTCCAGAAATAAGTAAATATTTCAGAAATTTTCTTTTGTTTAACAAAGATCTTTATTATTGTTGCTATATAGTAATATTTTTATACCTAATATAAAATTGTAATTAGTCACGACAGTTTTTAAATATTTTCATTTTCCACCGTTGCTTCAAGCAAAATAATAACCATTAATTCACATAAATGTTTTATAAAAGTCGTCGTCGGCTCGTATTCATTGAATGCTTGATGGATTATATTACTACTGGAGCAATTTACAGACTTTATACTATGGAAATGTGCATATCATAATATTTCAATTAGTTATTTTCAATTTATTGGAGTACAGAAGTAGTCATTTTCAAAATTTGAAGAGCCATCGAGCACAACAATATATCGTATCCAAAAATCATACCGTATGGTCGAATAAAAACGGCGTCAACGATGGCTACGAAATGAAGATCGCTGTCATTTTATATGTAAAATTATATGGGAAATGTCATCGATCGTCATTTCCAAGCCAACTGAACGCCGCTTTTTTTCCCGGTATTTACGCGGATATAATATTAAATTATATATTACAATCAAAGTAACTACACCCATGACACACTTTCTCAAGATCTCTGAACAGCATTGCCATTCTCACGGGAATCCTTCATGACTGCGATCAGCCCGTCTTGTTCCCACTCGCATAGAGCAAGAAACGAATATCTGATTCTGATCTTTTCCTTTTTATGAATGAAATGCCGGGTCTACTTTATTTAGAGGTCATTGGTTGGAACCTTATTTTTCACAATTAGTTACTTTTTTTACTACAGATGTAATAGATTATATTTAGCTTATTGCCGTACCTATAGTCCGATTTCAACTGTCAGACTTGAGTCGAACTTAGCCAAACTATACTCAAGACACGCGATTCCGTCTCTACGCATGCGCAGTTTGCCGCTTTCTTGATCAAGTCTCCTCTGTAGTACGCATTTTTCATCTAAGACCGTGCTCAAGCCTGAGGTCGGCTCAAGTACCGACTATATAGGTATGGCAATATTATTATCGGCAGTACGGCAATTAATATTATCTTCATTTCAGTAGTATACAGGAAAGTTTTTAAAATAGTTGATGTTTTTTCTACACAAATTTTCCTACAAACGTAAAAACCGGCTTTTGATTTTGTCTCTCTGTCTGTCAACCGGTCATTTATATTATTCTTTGTCTTGCACGTTAAGCCTAGTTTATGCACTTGCGAATTACGAATTGCGAAACGCGTTCTGTTCGCCTTGCAATTGGTCGCCTTCAAGGTTTCCCTTGAAGGCGACTAATCGAATGGCGACCTAACCAAATCATAACACAAACAGAACCCATTTCGCAATTCGTATATCTAGGCTTTAAAATCCAGACTACGGTTCTAAAATGACCAAATCAGTATGTATGTAATTGACTTTCATTTTAAACAACTGGTCAGACACATGAGAAAAAAGCGGCAAATTACTTTTACTGTAATTAGAAGTGAAAAGTGAAAATATTATAATAGAGAAATATTGATGAGTTAAAAAAACGGGAAAAGGAACTTTGAAGCAATTTATTGGCGGTAAAAAACTACAGATTTTACTCATTTTGGTAGGAGTTCTTTTTGGTTTCAAATCATCTAGTCAGTATAAAGGATAACGTGGACGAAATAAGATAAGATCTCTAACCTACCTATAATTCTGAAAATTGATGCTGAAAAAAAAAGTCAAAATAACTTAGAACATCAAGTATCGCCCTACATAAATGCAGTACAACTGTCGCATCCACTTAGTGTAATTGTCCGTTTTATGAAGTGGATAACCACTTCACGAACTGGTTAGGTTAGGTTCGCGAACTGGTTGGTTTCAGTTCGCGAAGTGGATATCCATTTCATGAAACGGACAATTACACTAAGTGGGTGCGACACAACTATTTTTTGTTTCAAAAAATTTGGCATTCGAACGTTTCAGGAGGTATACATATATTTCTCTTTCCGTCGTCAGAAGCAAAAATAAACAAAAAGAAATTGTTTTTAGCTTGCAGAAAAATGATATTAAAAATGCCAATTTTCTCGTAAATTTTTCTAATTGAGTAGGTTGAAAATATAAACACTGTATTATTCAACGGATTTGCTCTATATCATTTTGTCTGTTATAAAGAATGTGGTGGGCTGAGGTTCAACATTTTAATATTCAAATTGCTATTTTTGCCCTATTGCTGGAGTCATATACTGTAGCATAATAAATACACACATGGCCAAAATTATTGCATATATATCGTTTAAAAATATACGGAAGGAAATTTAAAGAATTTTTTTTATACATAGCTTTGATAATCTGTAATAAACATTTTTTTTGTTAAAATGGATATGGTAAAAAATGTTTATCGTTCAGACCCAATTTTATTACAAATTCTTGCACATTTCGATTTGTGAAGATTTCAATTTGTCGCATTCTTGCACATTTCGATTCTTCAGAAGAAATTTGACCATTGTTTTAGCCTTAAAATGCCTAAAATATAGACTATTAGTTGTGAGAAATAATTAAAATTGTTTTCAATATTTTCTGTTTAAAATGAAATTTGTTTTTGTTTATTTTCACTCATTATGAAATAAGACTATAATAACAGCCTAGTTGCACTTAGATTTTTAATTTTATATTAGTTAGTCGTGTAGTAAGCCAATATGTCCAAAAATATAAAAAGAATCATATTAGGTCCAAAATAAAATAAAAATATCGTTATATGCAATAATTTTGGCCATGTGCATATATATGTGTTCACTGGATTTGTTTCGAAATTTTCAAATAATGCTGATTCTCTTAAAAAATGAATAGTTTACTATGACTTATCTCGCAATATATTTTGTAGTTATGAAGAGCATTGAATAGCAGTAGCGTGCAGTGCAAATCAAAGTAGGGTAGGCAAAATTCACAAAATAAGAATAGCATATGTAATTAAGTACTTAGTCTTTTAAGTTTTTACAAAAAGTGAAACAGAAAGGAACAAGTTCCAAACGAAGTGTTTTATTGCTTCAGTTCCAACTCGTACAGAAATAGAAACTCAACCGCTGGAACCACGGCCACTGTATTTTTTCTGTGTGGTTAGGTTGTTAAGTAAAGATTGTAAAGTACTTTATAGTAAAATTTAAAAAGCTAAGGTAGCAGGCAATATTCCAATGAAACCATGTCATAGAAAATATAAAACATAAACCATACCCATTAAGAAGAAATATATCACTATTTTAGGAAATGCCATGAGGACTGCTTTTCGAGTTTTAAATGCCGACGAAGTGGAAACGGGGTCTCGGGGCGGCATGGACGGAGCTATGGCTGCTCAACCAGCTGATGGAGCAAGGCCAATGGTACATCTACCATTTTCAGACAGCAGCTCTTCTTCCTGTGACGATAATGACGTGCCTGGTTTTAATCCATTGGAATTGTCTTGTACCACGCAACAATTTAACTTTAATTTAAATGCCATGCAGGTATGATTTAATAAAAGTTTTTGCTTATATTGAAATAATAAAACTTGTGGAATATATTAGGTAAGCACGCCACAAAATAAGATTCATATAAGTGAAGTAAGCAATGAGCAAGATCTACATAGCACTAAGAAAAGACTATTTAGTGACAATAAATTACATGAGGACAAAGCGCTAAGTACTATATTAGAAGAAAAAAGTGGATGTATGTAAGTAAAATTGTTTAGTTTGTTTATTTTTGTCAAATATTATACCGTGTTTACTCCATTGACAGGGTGTGGCAAAGGTTTGAAACAGATGGAATAACTATTTATTATCAGGTAATCGAAAAAGGGTTTATGTTAATTCTCTATAAACTCCTTTTCGATTATTTAGCATGACCAATAACAAAAAAACACATTTTGTATATATATATGCCGTGCAACAGCTGTCATGGCAATTGTTAACAGGAAGTTCTTCATTCATCAATTAGATTTTAACTACATTTTCGAATTTTGTAAACTATACAGAGATTTATTTATTTTAAAATTAATACTTTTCTCGTGTGAACGGCTAAAAAATGGAAACTTAAAAATTAATTCCTAATGTAGCAATTTTTCTGTACTGATGCATAAAATACTAGGTTTTATTACCGGGTGTAATAAAATAAACCTCAAATTGTCTGTAATGCACTTTATTTACTCAGTGAAGTTGTAAAAAAGATTAATTAAATATTGAGTTTAGGCGTCTCTATACCAAGTCGTGTGAGTCGTTTTCTGGATATACGTTGAGCACATTTTGACAGCATGGCAATTTCTGAGGTATTTACTAGTCAAATGTGGATAAAATGATGAAAAATGTCAATGTTATATGAATTTCATAACTTATTGAGTTATGTCAACCTATTTTTCTATGGATATGTCATTCTTATTATACGGGGTTATTCACCACATACGACACGGAGAATAATAAAATTGTAGCTAAACGATTAGATTTTTACAAATTGTAAGTTTTGGGTTCGTTGAAGGACTATTAGAGCTACAATTTAAAAATATTTTTACAAGATACAGAGTGTCCCAAATAAATAAAAAATATCAAAGTTGTTTTTTTTTAAATGGAACACCCTGTATATTATTGTGTTTTTAGTTTCTACGATTAAAATAAAGGTAAATTTGATTAAGGTTTATTACACTTAAACCTTACCGGTTTTGAAATATTTTCAATTTTGTAAAATCGCAATATAAATTTTAAGGCTTCGTTTCTCCGAGGGTATCAAAGTTTTTAATACTAAATATTTACTGAAATTTATTTATTGATCAGTTATTGTGTTGCAATAATAAAAATTATACTACCTTATACGGAGTGTCTAAAAATTTATTTTAAATAATTACTAGCTTTAAACGGCAATAACTTGTTTAATTTAAATAAAATACCCTATATATTTTATGAGAATCAGATGCACAATTTAATTGTCTATCAAATTCTATTATACCACTTTTTACCTATCCCTTCAAGTTTTCGTAGAAAATGCATTTTCTTATAATTTAGACCTCATTTATCAATATACCCATGGAATATTGACATTTTAGATTGTTTTTAAAACAACAAATTACAAAATGTACAGGCTAGTAATATTATCGTTTTTAGTAAAACGATGATATTACTAGCCCATTTGTGTGCAAAAAGAAAACTATTTAAATCTTTATAAAAGAGTATACCATTAATTAAATATACCACCAGTATTTCCGCCCAAATACTAAGTAATTACGTACTTAATTGTGTTCGTTAATAAATTATTCTAAATAAATGTGGATTTGAATCAGAAATCAATATCCGGAATCAATCCGGAACACCAATAATAAGTTATGAAAATGAACGTCTCTGTTGTTATAAATAAGCATTTGTTAAAAAATGAAATATAATTTTTATAGTGTTAGTTTTTTACCACACTGTCTAATACACATAAATAATTCAGTTTTTTAGTATTTGGAGCAATTATTATTAATCAACGCAAACAGTCAATTAATGTAGTTTGTATACTGGAATCATATTAATTGGTCCTCTTTAACAATTATTTAAACAGTTATTTTTATTTTTTAATGAAATAAACGAACTATATTGACAATATTAGTATCTGTACATCTTTAAAAATAATCTAAAATGTCAGTATTCCATGGGTATATTGATAATTGAGTTCTAAATTATAAGAAAATGCATTTTCTACGGAAGTTTGAAGAGATGGGTAAAAAATGGCATAATACAATTTGATAGACAATTGAATTGTGCACCTGATTCTTATAAAATATACAGTGTTCCATTTAAATTAAACAAATTATTGCCGTTTAAAGCTAATCATTATTTAAAATAAATATTTAGACACTCTGTATAAGATGGTAAAATGTTTATTATTGCAACACAATAACCGATCAATAAATAAACTTTAGTAAATATTTAGTATTAAAAACTTTGATACACTCGGAGAAATGAAGCCTTAGAATTTATACTGCAATTTCACAGAATTGGAAATATTTCAAAAACGGTAAGGTTTAAGTGTAATAAACCTTAATCAAATTTACCTTTATTTTAATCGTAAAAATTAAAAATGTAATAATATACAGGGTGTTCCATTTAAAAAAATACAACTTTGATATTTTTTATTTATTTGGGACACTCTGTAACTTGTAAAAATATTTTTAAATTGTAGCTCTAATAGTCCTTCAACGAACCCAAAATTTACAATTTGTAAAAATCTAATCGTTTAGCTACAATATTCCGTGTCGTATGTGGTGAACAACCCTGTAGAAGGGAAATGTTGAAGACGCTTCTCAGCATTTTCGATGTTTTGAACAATATTAAATATTGTTCAAAACATCGAAAATTTGGCAGTTATAAATTTTATAACTGCCAAGTTGTAAATTATCATTACTTATTGAGGAATTTATAGAAGAAGTAGTAATTTTCACCAAAGAGCAAAAGAACGCACAAAATCACAATTTTTTCTATTTTTACTGACAGTTATATCTTTTCTGGTTAGTTCGACAAGCAAAACGATACTTTAAGGTAGTAACGATCCAATCGGTAAAGACGCTAAGCGCGTCAAATGAGAATACAAAAATTGGTATTCAAGTGCGAGCTAAGCGAAAATTTACGTCATATGCTCTAAACGTCTAAAAGTGCTTAACGTTTTCTAAGTTACAAAATTCAGACCCTGAGAGGCGAGATAGCAGTCAATCAATATTGCTTTCACGTAGAAATGATTTTATTATGTACCTACCGCCAGTACAATCTGCTGGATTGTGTACTACATTGAAGTTTTTATCTTCTTTTGTCAAAATGTGTAAAACTTTGCAACATAACAATATTGTTATATTAAACTAATTGCCGCTTTAAGGTATTTTTACCGAATTATACAGGGTATACCTTAATGATTTGTTAATATTTAAGGGAACGATTCTTGTATTGGACCTATTTTAAGAAAAAAACTTCATATCTTCATATGAATATATGTCCTAAACATCTTAACTTTTGAGATACAGGGTGGTAAAATTTTCTAAAAAAATATCTTTTTCTCCTAATAATTCTGAGCTTGTTATAATTATCTTTATGAAATTTCATACACCTTTTTTATGTATGAAACTGATTAACTGAAACTTAATTTCCATCCAGCCCAGGCAAAAACCATTTCCACACTCACCGCCTCAGATTTTTAGCGAAAAAATTACCTTTATTTTTTTAAGCAAAACCAACTATGCGTCCGACCAAAAAAAATCAGGAGATGAAAATTGCTTAGAAATAAATGAGGATTTTGAAAATAATTTTAGAGAAGTCAGTGGCGTACCATTTTTTTCTTCAAAAATATTCAATTTAATATCCGTATGGACGCCCCTGGTACATCAAAATAGGGCATTTTGATGCATAGAAAACGCGTAGCAAATTTCATAAATATATCTACACCCACCGGAAAAAAAAACCGGCCACTAAAAACTAGTCCCAATTTCAAAGTTGGATTTCTCGCGAACCCTCATTAGGTTTTGATGATTTTTTTTAATTGTAAATTAATTATTTTCTAACGAATGCTACGTCAGAAATTTTTATTCCGAATTTATTTTGAGCATATACAGGGCACAACAATAAGACGAAGTTTTTTGCCCGAACTTTGTAACACCCTGTAGGGTGCAGCAGCGGTAGTATGCTAAATCAAGTCACATTGTAGCCCCATCTTTTGTGAGCATTTTGTTTTTTTAATCACGACATTATCTCTGTTTGTATTGGAGATAAATAGGATCCTATATCTCCTACGCGGAGCAAAGGGCTTCAGTGAAAGCTCTCCATCGGGTTCTGTTTTTGGCAGTTGTTTTTGCTTCCTTCCATGTTGACCCTACTTGTTGAAGCTCATCCAGTATGGAACGTCTCCAT